AGTCATTTCTCGTCTTGTATGACTTTTCAAGGTCTATGGCGCGGCGTCCGTTTACGTCGCAGCAACAGCTCGCAGCAACAGCTCGCAGCAGCAACTCCCAGCAATTGGCAGAGCTATTAGCAGTACAGTGTACCGGTATCTTCCTCAGTCGTATACCAGTACCTACACAGTCACAGTACCTATCCCATTACTCGCGTTTGCCGTGCTGCTCGGCCAACTCAGATTGCTTTGGATAGACTGTGTGGCACGGTCCGTGCCATTGTCCTGTCATCTGGATCGAAACCATATGTCCATCGCGTCCACAATAGCCACACCCATTATTAATAGCCACAGCTGCAGGCACCAGACGACTCACTTTAAGTGTATCCCGGAACTTAAGTACTTAAAGTACACGACTTTTTTTACCGAACTTGCGCGATGCGTCTCCATAGCATAGGCAGTGGCAGCGACTTGCAACCGTGTTTGTTGCATATCTGGACATTTGTACTACTTGTATTTTACAACATCAGCACGTCGTCTGCGGTATCCATTTTCGAAGTGGTATGCGAAAGGCGCACACTCCGCGGATCTGATAACATTCGCGCAGGCTGGGGTCGCTATTTACTTCGCAACACCGTCTCAGCCTCTTGCTGCTCGACCATGATCATTTTTCCTTTGGCACTATTCGCAACAAGTCCAATGGTCCATCTATCGCGCGCTCTCGCTCTTGCGGCCATCGTTGGTATCGTCGTCGCTGACAACTCCAAGATCCACCCCAAGCTTCTCCAAAAGCTCGAAGCCGAGACCATCGACGGCATTACAATCGCGATCGAGTTCAAGGGCACGGCCGAGGAGGTGCTCGTCAGTCCAAAGTTGGAGTCGGCGTCCATCGAGTCGCGTGCAGAGCTCGCAGAGGCTGTCAAATCGGTGCTTGAAGATCACGCAACTTCCGTTCAAGCCAGTGCGCTCAAGCTCCTCGCGAGCTCGAAGCTCGAGTCCGCGGTCGAGCACTCGTCGTTCTGGATCAACAACGTCGTGTATGCCAAGGGTGTCTCGCTCGATGTCATTCAAGCCCTCGCCAAGCTGCCCGAGGTCGCCTTCGTCCGGCCCGAAGCCAT